TAGCTGGGTGACTATGGGCCAATCACCAGGAGATGGTGAGTTCTAGTCCTGCCTTGAAAGCTGGCTAGGTGATTTTTGGGCCAGTCACTAGGAGACGGTGAGTTCTCCTGGTGTTGCATCCCATGTCTAAAATATTCTAATGAAACATCAATCACTTAACAAGGGAAATTTTGCACCCCGTATTGTGGTTGTAAATCTGCAAACGGCCCAAGGATTATCAGCTCTTTGCGGTACCTCCGAATTCTTTGGCGGTGTCCCAATCGGAGTCCCTTTTCCTGTCTGGCTTTTTTTTTTTTTTTTGAAAATTTGCCAGCTTGCCAGAGAAGAGTTAACGAATCTGGCCACTTGTGAGCTTAAGGACTTCCTGGTTGGCTTCAGCCATCTGCAGGCACAAGGCTCAATCCTGCTTCAGTTGAGCGAACAGGTGATGGACGGACTTACTCCCAAGTATTAGCCTCTGCTTTTCCCTTTTTCTCTTTCTCCAGAGTGCCTACGAGGCGAGGAAACCCCCTTAAACCCGAGTTTCTGGTGGAATTATGTGAAGGAAACTCCCTGGGACATCTTCCAGGTAAGGGTCCGGAGAAAAAAATTAGGTTTCGTTTCCGAAACGTTTTTTGTGTGTCGTTCTTTGCATTCGTTCTTGCACGGAGAACTTTCTCAACGGGCTTTTACGAGCAGGCAAGTCTCTTTGAAAACTGATTGGAGGAGCAGGGGGCTTTCAAAGTACTTGGGGAGGAGATGGGGGGCGGGTTTCAGCCCCTCTTCCTGCTTGGATTTTGGGGAGTCTTCCTCCACCCCACCCCCCCACGTTACCTGGCTAAATTTCTCGGATTGTTTTGCTGAGCCTTGCCTGGAATTGCAACCCATATGTGAGCCCAGGGATCAAAGTTTGGGTTGAATTCACACAACCTGTTCAGCCAAAGATCAGCCCACTCTGTTTGGACTTAAGTGAGTTTTTCTGCATTCATCTCTTGGGGTGAGTTTGTGATTTGGGGGAGTGGCGGGGTTTGCAGCGAAAAAATCCTGATTAATTGAATCAAGGGGTGTATGTTTACTTAAGTGCGGGCAAAGGTTCTGGGTGAACGCAAGCCAAGAATGCCAACTATGAAGGCAGCGGGCAAATTATCTTGAAATAAACAATAATTGCACGTTCCAGTTGGAGCGGCACGCCGAGCGGAGCTTAAAAATAACTTTTATTTGGGTTCTTAAAGCCAGCCTTGACTTTCTATCTTTGGAGAAAATAAACTCTGGAGGGAGAAATTCGTGGTAGGAAAAAAAAAACCAGAATAATTTTTCCTTTTGCAATTGTGGGTCGTTGTTTAAAAATGGCTCTCGGGCAGGCTGTTTATATCAGAGGCATTTGGGAGAGTGGCAGTCAGTATGGCTGGCACTCTGCGTATGCATTGAGCAACTCTTTGTTTTTGGACAACAGCTCTGGCCTGCGGAAGAATTTCAGCTGGGTTTTTTTTTTTTAATAAGGACAAGAGGCTGAGTCTTTATTCTGGTTTGATGTGAGTTTGGACAATCGTGGCTTCTCTTCAGTGGGTTTATTTCTATAAACTCTCGGGCGGTTTTGCAAAGCAGAGGCAGCTTAAATGAGTAAAGGGTTTTTAATTTTTTTAATTTTTTTTTGCCAAAATAAAGAAAAAAAGAAGAATCAAGCTGACTGTCACCTGGTGCTAATAGTAAAAATAAAAAAGTGTATAAAAATAATAAATATATCATTCATATTAATATTCAGTGTAAAAAAACCCATCCTGTCTGAATGCTAACAAACATCAAAAGTATCTCATGTGTTTACATAACAGGTCTACAAATCGTTATAAACTTTCCCAAACTTGAAACAAATATTAGATTACATAAAACGTTCTCTGATATGGAAAGTTAGAGAAAAGAGTTTTCTGTTATGGTAAGCAGCCTGATAAGAGTTTTCTGTGAAATTTGTCCTTTCTGTTCTGAGTTCAAGTCCAGGGTTGGTCACTGAGTTCACTTGTTGATTGTGGACCAGTTGTGATATTTGCAGTTGACTTCCTCCGGAGGGTTTTGTTGTGGATCAAATTAAGGGAAGAGAAGGAAGGGAGGAAGAATGTAGTGGCAATGGAGGAAAAGAGATAGGCCTCCAATAAATGAGTGAATGTATGTAATTCTTGTAATGTAATTCTTGAAGAGAATTATTTGTAGCTGAGGGTTGAACTGTGGGGGTCCTTGGTGTTCTCTGAGCTCGGTGGTTTTCTGGCAGACGTTTCATTACCCAACTAGGTAACACCATCAGTACTAGAAAGGAGGAAGGGTGGGGGAGAAGAATGAAATTGCGGTGTCCTTGGTGCTCTCTGAGCTTGGTTGTTTTCTTGCAGACGTTTCATGACCCAGCTAGGTAACTTCATCAGTGTTAGAAGGGGGTAGTGTTTGTGGAGAGGTGTAGGAGCAGCAGGAGGAGGAGGAAGAAGAAGGAGAAGAAGAGGAGGAGGAGAAAGAGGAGAAAGAGGAGGGCTGTAGGGTCTTTGGTGCTCCCTGAGCTTGGTGGTTTTCCTGCAGACATTTCATGACCCAACCAGGTAACATCATCAGTGCTAGAAGGGAGTGGGGTTTGCTCTCTTAAAGTACGAGTGGTTTGCCTTGCTAATGCTGGCGGGGCTGTGGGTTTTTTTTTTTCTTGGTAGTTCCTTGATTTAGGGAATTACTTAATTAGGGAATTGCCTAATTATGGAACTTTAGCTGTGTTGCTCTCTGAGCTTGGTGGTTTTCTGGCAGACGTTTCAAGACCCACCTAGGTAACATCATCAGTGCTAGTGATGTTACTGATTGCTCTAGTGTTACTACAGCACTGATGATGTTACCTAAGTGGGTCTTGAAACATCCACAAGAAAACCACCAAGCTCAGAGAGCACCAAGGACCCCATAGTCGTCGCCTCCTCCTCCTCCTCCTC